GGCAGCAACTCCAGCAGTGCCAGGGTTGTTGGCACAGATCTAGATGGAAGCACTAGCTTCCATCTAGAACTAAGCCAGATTTACAAGAAAAAAAAACCCATTCAAAAGTGGGTGAAGGATATTAACAGGCACTTTCAAAAGAAGACATATATAAGGCCAACAAACATATAAAAATATGCTCATCACTGGTCAGTAGAGAAATGCAAATCAAAACCACATTGAGATATCATCTCATGCTAATTAGAATGGTGATCATTAAAAAATCTGGAGACAACAGATGCTGTAGAGGATGTGGAGAAATAGGAACACTTTTACACCGGTGGTGAGAGTGTAAATTAGTTCAACCATTGTGGGAGAGAGTGTGGTGATTCCTCAAGGATCTAGAAATAGAAATTCCATTTGACCCAGCAATCCCATTACTGGGTATACACCCAAAGGATTATAAATCATTCTATTATAAAGACACATGCACATGTGTGTGCACCGTGACACTCTTTACAATAGCAAAGACCTGGAACCAAGCCAAATGCCCATCAATGATAGACTAGACAAAGAAAATGTGGCACATATACACCATGGAATACTATGCAGCCATAAGAAATAATGAGTTCGTGTCCTTTGTAGGGACATGGATGAATCTGGAAACCATCATTATCAGCAAACTGACACAAGAACAGAAAATCAAACACCTCATGTTCTTACTCATAGGCTGGTGATGAACAATGAGAACAGGTGGACACAGGGAGGGGATCATCACACACTGAGCTTAGTTGGGAAGGCTAGGAGAGAGATAGTGGGGGCTGGGGAGGGTGGGGAGGGATATTGTGGGGAGAAATGCCAGATATAGATGATGGGGGGATGGAGGCAGCAAACCACCTTGCTATGTATGTACCTATGCAATAACCCTGCATGATCTGCACATGTATCCCAGAACCTAAAGTACAATTAAAAAAAAAAAAAAGAATAATCTGAAGTTATTGATTTACTTTTAATGAACAGAATACAGCATAAGAAATGGGAGTCTCACTTAGGGTAAGTTATAAAAGACTGCATCTTCTATCTTGAGTGTTCTATCTCTTGTTATTTATTGGGTAATTTGCCTGAATGAAACCAGCTGACATGACATGAGGCTCACCTATTGAGTAACCACATGAGTGAGACTGGAGGCAGATAAGACAACAGCCCCAACCTGATGCTTGGCTACAACTTTATAAACCAGAAGCATCCAGCTAAGCCATGCTTAGATTCTCCTGCACAGAAATTTTAAGATTATAAATGTTTTAAGCTGCTGTGTTCAGGGTTAATATGTTACACAGACACAGATAACTAAGACAAATCACTTTGAATAACAAGTTATCAAATCTACTGGAGAGACATAATATGCTAAAAAAAAGACATAATATGCTATTATATATTGTTCACACACAGAGACAAAACCGTTGACCATTTATTAGTTACTTTCTAGACAGCCACTGATTTTTGTTAACACAGCATCTCACCTGGTAATTAGTAATAGGAGCAAAACATCAAAGCATAGAACTAGGAGAACAGTTTGTGCTTGAAAAACTCAAGTGTGTGAATGCTGGATCAGTCACTACTAACTAAATAGTCCTAGAAAATCATTTAAAATCTCTGTGCCTTGGTTTTCCTCATCTATATAATAGAGAGAAAAAAAAAGCTTACTTAAAGAAATATCTTGGGATTATGTAATTTACATATGTAGGACACTGGAACCATGACTGGACATACAGGACAGTGCTCAGTAATAGATGACTATTGGAATTTGTCTTCAAGGTGAAAGGCCGAGTTAGCAATAGGAATGCATGCCTCTAATGGAATGAATGGTTGGATATGGTTCCAAGTTGTGACCACTGGCTTGTTAGCATTGTTGGCTAATCAATTTGCTTGCCCAGACCACAGACCTCACAAGGGTTCACAGACGGCAAGCATAGGAAAGAGTGATAGTCTATCATACCATTCAGATTCTCATAGATGAGGTTACTTGTAGGCCTCCTTAGAAACTGATGGAGAAAATATATGTTAAAGAACATATGTATTCAATGTGTGCGCTTACTTAGTTTTTCCCCATAATGGAACTTTTCTAATGGTAATATTTAATCAAATGTCTCCAGCCCCATTTAATATGCCCCTTTTGGTAAAGATGTTAAAGCAAATGACAGTTTTGTTTATCTGTTTATACCATAGTTGACTGTGATATTTTCTGTCAGTCTAAATTACAGTAATCTTTATGTCCCCAGAGGCCAGTTAGGGAGCATTACAAGTCATCAGTCAAATGGCAAAATCAGTACATCTAGACATTAAACCCATACTCTGGAAAAATCAAAACCTATTATTGATTTAAAAAACCCCTGGAGAGTCCTATATACTTTTTTGAGTTTGTGAAATCAGAATTATATACTAAATCAACAGAATTATAGACTGTAGAAAACATGAGGTTATTTCTCAATATATTCAAGGCTGATCAGATCCTCATTAGAAACATAGTGCCCACTTTAGAAATCCATAACTATAGAGAATCTCTCAAATAGTACCTGTATTGAGTAATAAGTTAAAAATTAATAATTATTACTATGAAGCATCGGTGCAGAGTTGCCATGAAGGAGTTACCTGAGTATATTAGGTGTAGGATATAACAGAGGATTTTGTTGTTTATAAACGCAGTGTTTGGTGCTTATTTTAACAGACCAGAGATAGGAGCATTAAAATTATAATTATCATTTTTTTCTGATATCAGCAATATGTGCTCATTATAGAAAAAATAGAAAATACTCAAAAAGAATTATTTAAATCACTTATAATGCCAACACCCAGGGATAACTTAGTGTAATTTGGCATATTCTCTATAATCTTTCTGTATGAATGCTGCATTTTTACTTAATAGTAATATAATGCCAAACTGCGCTTAATGTTCAATATGTCATTAAGCCAGCATATTAGACACACAAATATAGGCTAGGCACTGCATGATTCTAAAGAAAATGCTTCAAATAGACTATAACATGCCTCTTGGAGTTGTATAATATGACAGCCTATCTTAAACATTCTTAGAAAACACTCGAAATGACCATACAATTGCTCATTACATGACTATGCTATTCTTTATTAACTTCCAGCCTACTCTTAAATGTCTATGTTCATTTCTATTGTTGTAAATAATGCTATGTGAAGTTATCTATGCAGAAATATTTCAATTCTCCATTCATTCATCAAAAGACGTCCTTGGAAGTAGAATATGTAAGTCAAAGGATGTGTACATTTTAAAGATTCTCTATAGATGATACTGTAATACATAACAAATGTGTCAATTAACTTCTGTGGTCAGTTTTCTCTCTCTTAAACCTCTATATACATTACAGTTCTCCTGGTTTTACTTTAAACTAGAAGAAAAATTTACATCCATGACATGATTTGGGTGTTTTGCTCTTTCCAGATCTCACATTGAAATGTAATCCCTGATATTGGAGGTGAGGCCTAGTGGGAAGTGTTTGTGTCATGGGCGTTGTGCATTCCTCATGAATGGCTTGATGTTGTCCTTTTGATAATGAGTGAGTTCTTACTCTGAGTTCATGGGAAATCTGTTTGTTTAAAAGAGTGTGGCACCTCCCTCTTCTCTCTTGCTCTCACTCTTGCCATATGACATATTGGCTGCTCATCACCTTCCACCAGTCAGCTTCCAAGCCCTCACAAGAAGCAGATGCCAGGACCTCCTTTAAAGCCTGCCCCACGGTGAATCAATTAAACCTCTTTTTTTTTAATTAATTATGCAGCCTCAAGTATTTCTTTATAATAATATAATAGCCTATCACAACCTACAACTCTGTATATATATATTTGTGTGATTTAAAGCATGCAGGAAGTAACACAGAATCCAAGGCACTCAAAACTCATTAAAAAATGGAACCAAGAATTCAAATGCCATTACGAAATTAGGTAATCCTAAAATCTGACCACTCTGCCTTTCACATTATTCTCCTTTCTCTATCCCTGCCTTCCTCCCTCCCTTCCTCCAACTTTCAGAATTGCCCTGTAATCAAACATGTTCAAATTACAGCTCTTCATGTCATATTTCCAATCAATTAACCAATCTAGACCAAGTAGCATCTTTGATCTACCTTACATATTCCTAGGCAGTAAGCCAAACTGCTTTGTTGTTGTTGTTTCACACCAGTTGTTTCTTCTCACTTGATTGATAACAACGAAGAACTTCAGATGCCATGACAGGGAGAGAGTAAGTGGAAACTAAATAAATTGAACCTGGGTCTAGGACTCTTAACTTCAACTAGAGCTGCCTATTTGTATATGTTTTCTATATGGGAATTTCTTGCATGGTTTCAGAGAAAGAGAGAGAGCATAACAGAGAGTGTGAGGGAGAGAAAAGGTAAATAAAGCAAAAGAGAGGTGGCTAGAGGAATTAAAAAGAAAGAGAAAAGGGAAGGGATGGAAGGAAAATGATGAGAAAGGAAAGAAAAAAAGATGAGAAAGAGAGAGGAAGGGGAGAAAGTGGGAAGGGAGAATTCTGTGTCTAAAAAAATCGCTTGAAATCACTATGTACTACCTCTTCTTTGTTGCATCCTGATGAAGAAATAGAACTTTTTTCTTAAAAAAGAAAGTACATCTAAAATATGGATGTATGAATACCCAGTATCACATTCATTTCATTATAGCTTTTCAAATTCCCATTGACCTCACATTAAGTTCTCTCTCTATAAAGGGTTCCTTTAAGTAACATCTTGGTTTCTGTTCCCCGAGAACAATACCTATCTATGAAGTGTCAAAGAATAATAACATGAAACCACCCAAAAATCTAAAGAGCAATATTCTTGCTGTGTCAGCCAACTTAGGAATTATAGGACTTTAAAAATATTGGCAACACTGAGATTTTCAAGAATTATATAGATAACTTTATCGTTATAGGAACATGTTAAAAGCCAAAAGAATCCAAGAAGCTATTATGTCTCCTGGGCCACAAATCTGGCTGGTTTTAGGGGTGAGAGTGGAGAACAGTAAGTTGGATTTAAATTAGATATACAAATAAGTGTTTATACTTAAAATATTTTTAATAAACAGAAGTAATTGCAAAATTATGAAATGTGCCTGAGATATTGTCATGATAGAGAACAAGGAAATTTAACAGTGCAAGGTTGAATGTAGTAAATGGAAAAAATAAAATAAAACCATTTCGTGTCTTTATCCATCAAGCTCAAACTGCTTGCTAAACCTGTTATACCATAAATACACAAATCTACCCAGTGTTACTTTCAATGTAATGGCAACAAACTCTCAGTGATATTTGGTGAACTCCATAAAGAAGAGTTCGTAGGTCTTTACATACTTGCCTGAATAATAAAATCTCTTCATGTTTACATGTTGGAGAACTAGAGACAAAGGCAATGAAAATAAGCAAGTAAAAATGTTATTTGTGCTGTGACACATGGTTTCATTGTCATTAAAGATTTAGGGCTTAACACTTTTAAGTGTATTGGATTTTGTCTTGATATAGTTTGCTTACAGAAACAAAAAAGTTGTTGATGTTTGACATTGCTCTTTCAGTCAGCATGGTTGAGCGTTCTCAAAATTGCCCCAGACCCCTCCCCTCAGATGAGTCCTTTTCTTCTTTTGTATGTACTCATGTGAGAAGCAATTCCTTTTGCTCCGTTTTCCTTCCTCTTCTTTTCCATTCTCATCCTTTTCCATCTCATCTCTTCCCCTTCTGCCAGAGTGCATACTGTTGGGGGAAGAGAAATCAGAAGTTCCACCTGGCTGCTTCTCCAGCTGTGAATATAAAGACTTCTCACCCAGTCATCTCACAGGAGGGTGCAGCTGCCACTTCTCCATTACCAGGACGGAGGTAAGAACACAGGTCTACCTCTCAGTCACTGGGAGCATCTCCATATTTAGCCCAGAAGAAGATTTAGGCAATTGTTCATTGAAGGTATTTGAGTAATTGTGACATAAAGAGTTGGGTGGTGGTAGTGGGAGAGGAGTGAGTGATTGAGTTTTGAACCCCTGATCAAATTATTTTGTCCCTTTGTATCACACAAGGGCCTCTCGCTGCAAGACCTTTCTTGTTACTCTCAGAGATACCTATTGAGAGTGTACTATAGATAGCTCATGTATTAAATTGCCCTAACTTCTCCTTGAATTCCTACAGTTCTTCATTTTAGTAATATGACCCATCCCCTCTTTTCCTCTCTCCCTACAGCAACAACTTTGTAACTACTCACCATCAATCCCTTTGATGTCTTGCACATTCCAAGCTCAGATAGGGAATAGCACTGGCTTACTCCCCTCCACGTGAGACAAGGGTGAGACTTTGTGTCATAGTCCTATGTTTTTCCTCAGAAAATGGTGGAATAAGTGCTGGTTGCCTGGATGGATGGAAGGAGAGTAGAAAAACAACAGGGTTTTTCATTCTGCGCTTTATTTAGTACTCTCTAAAATCAAATACAAAATTTATTTCGACTCCTTCTTTCCTCAAAAGATATTTATACTTCCGATTACCTTAATATTATGTCTTTCATGTAAACCATTACCCCAAGCTTATTATGTGAAAGCTTATTTTCCCACCATTTGCAAGCCCTGAGTTATTTAAGAAAGCATCCTCTATTAACTTGACAATGAAAACCACTATCAAATAAATTATTTCTCTCTAATCTGGGAGGCTAAATATTATTTTCCTTTCTCACCTGGGGATAATTAATATGTTTAATATAGGGAGAAAAGGCACTGAAATAAATCAGATCATTAAATTGGTACAAAATTTTATTTTTTAAATAAAGGAAAATATTTTGATTAAAACGTTATCTTGATAAATGAAACCAAAATAATAAAAATGTGATAAAATATAATCTAATATTTAACCAAACTTGTTTTATAACTGCAAACTGGTTCAATTCTTAGAAAAGACAAATATATACATTTAATTACTGACAAATTGTATTATTGCATGATAACACATTTTACACATTGAATTTTTTCAGTGCAATTAAGAGGACTATATATACATATATGTATCCATATGGATATATGCTCAGTCGTTTCTGCAAGGACCTCTCTTAGATGATCTTAAACCCTTGTTATTTTTAACAACTCTCCTTTGCCACTTCCTTTGTCATGTCCCCATCCTTGTTTTTTTCATTTTGGTTTTTGGTTTTTTTTTCTCTCAATTGTTTACTCATTTGCCAATGGCATTGAAATGAGATCTAAGTATTTTTCAAACGATCCTTTCCTGGACTACATAGAATTTCGTATCTTTTGCAAAACGTTAAGTCTCACTTGGCTATACATTTGCAATATATTTACCGTGCAAACATCCAGGAATAGAGGTAAACTAAACCACAAAGAGATAGGAAGTTGCATGCAGGAAATGTCTATCCACATTCCACTGCTAAAGCAAGATAGTTAAAGGGTATTTGAGGGGAACTAAAGTTTCATGTGGTTAGTTCATTCATGAATTTTCTTTCTGATTCTCTATGCAACCTAATAATACAGGTCTCCAGAAAACAACTACACAGATAAACAGGGTCCCCACATATAAAAAAATGAGGTATAACTCAATTGACTTCCCAAGATCCCTTAGAGATTGTTAAAGAAAAGGAAAAACTACTTTATGCTTCTTAATTTCTTCTTGTTTTACAAATATTTGATAAAAATCATGCATATTAAGTAGTTAACATTTCTATGGAATCATTTGTGATAGTGCAAGCCGTTAAATATGTCTGGATTTTACTCTGGGTACTCATAGGGCTGGTTCCAGGCAAGGCTGTGAGGTGAAAGGAAGAGATATTCGTGTTTACCCTCCTCCAAGTTTCTATTAGGTAAATTTTCTTAGATCCTTTGGTACTTGTTCTCTTTCTTTTTTGTATTTCCAACTCTGCTCTTCTGGTTATCTACGATCACATAACAAACTACAACACAACTTAGTGGCTTAAAATAATGTTGCATTATTATCTCACATGATTCTGTGGGTTTATGAGTTTAGCTGGGTGATTCTCACTTCAAGTCTTCTATGTGATGACAGGCAGATGTTAGTTGGGGCTGCAGTCATTTGGAGTCATCCATAATGATTCGTTCCTATGGTTGGTAATTAATGCTGCTACCAGCTGCTAGCTAAAATGAGACTGTTAAGCAGAATAACTACCCTTGGCCCCTCTGTTTGGTTTAAAATCTTCTCAGAATAGCAGCTTCCCTGCAGGAGCATTCCAGAAGTAAACACTCTAAGAGTCTCAGGCAGAAGCTGTAAGCTCATCAGAGTGACAGCATCACAAGACACAAAATGTCACTTCTGCTACATTGTATCAGCCAAGCAAGTCACCAAGTCAAGCTCAGATTCAACAGGACAAGGAGGAAATTAGGCTACAACTCCTGAAGTGAGAGTGTTGCATTAGGAAAGGCATGTGGAGGGGGGATGCTATTGTGATCATCTTTGGAAAATATTATCTTCCATGCCCTCCAAGTTGCCTCCAGAAACCAGGGTTACCCAGCTAACGAACTTGTTCCAGATCCTGCTTCCCCCAAGTGTACCCCATTATGAAGGCCTGTTTTCATCTTCTTTTCACTCAAAATGAACTTTTTCTATGTTTGTGGCCTATAACCAGGCTTTCTTCTGGAAAACTGAAAAATAATATAGATTGACGTGTTAATGACTGCTGCCTATTTCCTAACACTAGTAACATATTTGTCTTCAAGCCGGTTTTGTCATGGTAAATGACTTAATATAAATAACTAATTAAGAAAAATTTGGAATATTTTCAAAATGTATGATGGATAATAGCTTCTTATGGGTCATGTAGTAAACTCAGTGATATATGTATATATATATCATTTCCTATTCATGGTAACCCTGTGAGTTAGATATAATTTGCATGTTCATTTAACAGGTACGGAAATTAGTGCTTAGAGAAAGTAGAGGACTTGACAAGTATTTCATCACCAGTAAAGGACAGGGTTTGGATTTCTTCCCAGGTGTGTATGAGACCCAGCTGATCCTCTAACCACTAAGAATATTGCCTCCCATGCTTACAAAATCTGTCTCCAGACCCAAGAATATAAACACTTTTTGAACTTCCTTTTCTTCTAGTGGTTTGCAAGCCATCACATTTTCATCTTTTTATGGGATTTTCAAATAAGATACAAATTATAAATAATTGTCCTTAACTTTTCATTCATCTTTCCCCTTATCACAGACACAGTATAATACCTAACAGTTGAATGAGAAAAACGCTGAAGAAGGTTGACTCTGTTTGTTATTTGGTCAAAACACATATATACGTGTACACACACAACGCGCCCAAAGTACAGTCTAAATTTTGAGGGTTTTCCAAACTATCTTACTTCAGTCAGAGTAGGAACATTTTCCTTTTACTCTAATCATGTTTTGGAACCAGGACTTAAGTTTGGTTCAGGTTAAAATATGAAGTCATCCCATTCATGATATTTCCCTATTAGAAAGTGTGAGGGATGAGGCTGGGTGCAGTGCCTCATGCCTGTAATCCCAGCACTTTGGGAGGCCGAGGTGGGGGAATCATGAGATTCAAGAGATTGAAATCATCTGGCCAACATGGTGAAACCCCCTATCTACTAAAAATACAAAAATTAGCTGGGTGTTGTCGTGCGTGCCTGTAGTCCCAGCTACCCAGGAGGCTGAGGCTGAAGAATCACTTGAACCTGGGAGGTGGAGGTTGCAGTAAACCGAGATTGTGCCCCTGCACTCCAGCCTGGTGGCAGAGCAAGACTCTGTCTCAAAGAAAAAAAAAAAAAAAGAAAGTACAAGGGACAAGAAATACCCCCCACAAAAAATGTCCAGAATTTCTCTCTCAACTCATAGAAATCTCTCAGTTCTATTGTTATCGCACATATTTATTATTTCTGGCAGCATCTCTTGGAATCTGTCCTCTCCTTGTCTTGGTTTTTAATTATCTCCTTGTTCTTAGTTCCTTAGTGGCTTATGTGCAGCTGACCTACCCTACAGTTCTAGGATTGAAACATAACCTAGAACCTTCCAAAAGAGTGGAAGTACAAAGGTAGGTATGTAAAAAACAACAACAAAAAAAATGCAGAGTCCTCACAAATATTTTTGCAAGAATACTTAGGTAAAAGCCTCCCCTTTGCTCTGAGAAAGCTAATGATGAGGATGATGTAAGCCCCGCGATACACTGGGTGTCCTCTAGGCTATGGTAGGTCATCTGCACCAACTCCTTATCTCTGCATGCATGCCCTTTGCAATGACTTTGCTACTTGTGTCAAGAGATGAAGTCTTTAGAAACCACACAGAAAGAGTCTGCTATAATACATTCTTCAAGAGAAAAGTAAAAAGAGATAAAAAGAAAGAGATTTTAAAGCGATAGGGACCTTAAGATTTCATTTAAGCTTCTCAATCTAGTGACTCATGAAGTCCATCCTGGATTTTGTAGATACATAAGTAGGTAAAATATATTTTCACATCAGCTATTTGAAATGGGATTTCTGTCACTGTGCCAAAATTGATCAGGCTTACATTCCAAATTATGAGTTATTACCAATTTCAATTGTAAAATTTGAGATACAGAAATAATGAAATATTTGAAATAAGCTTCAAGTAGTAGTTACTGTATCTACTCCTTAACTAGTAAATGCAATAGCTAATATTTATATAAAATACGTGGATATGATTTCAAATTTCTTATATATGATTACTTTTTATAATATTAGCAGATCTAATAAACTATGTAGCTAGTATCTAAAATTACAATTTCATATTATTTGTAGTTACTATATGCTCAACTTCTTGACCCATTCTCAACTATTGAAATACTCCTAAATTATGATGATTCAAACTTTGCCTATTTCATATATATTAAATATAGCTGTTTTCTTTTTTTTTTTTTTTTTTTTGAGATGGAGTTTTACTTTTGTTACCCAGGCTGAAATGCAATGGCACGATCTGGGCTCACCGCAACCTCCGCCTCCTGGGTTCAGGCAATTCTCCTGCCTCAGCCTCCCGAGTAGCTGGGATTACAGGCACGCACCACCATGCCCAGCCAATTTTTTGTATTTTCAGTAGAGACGGGATTTCAACATGTTGACCAGAATGGTCTCGATCTGTTGACCTCATGATCCACCCGCCTCGGCCTCCCAAAGTGCTGTTTTCTTTTTGAAATTTTTTCAATGTCTTAACACACTTTAATCAGTCAACAAGCATTTATTGAGTATATTTTTTAAATGTTTACTTATTATATATCATGTGCTAAACACAACTCAAGATATTGGAAAAGTCTCACTGAATAAAATATGTAAAGCCTATATTCATACAGAGTGTAAGTATTGGGAATGAGAAACAATAAACAAATAAGTAATTACATAATATAATATAATTTAAAATTTTGACAGGTGTTAGAAGAACAAGGGAAGAAAATGACAGAAAGAGAGCGGCCAAAAAGTTCTCTCTGAAGCAGTGACATTTTAAATTTCTGGCTAAAGTGTTTTAGGCAGAGGTAATAGCAAGTTATCATTTAAAATTAAAATAGAAAAAAAATGTACATAGATAAATTCAGCATAAAGAAATACACAATGTTTTCATCATTTTTAATCTTTTTTGAAATCACTATTTTTAAAAAAATATAAAATGCAGGGAACAATATGATTAGATAATTCTAAATATTACAACTAGGATAATGTTTAATAAGATTATGTAAAAAAAATATATATATATATATATATATGAATATCAAGGGGAGCATCTGCCCCGGGATGGGGTGGCAGCCTGTTGAGAGATGTTGGAGCCTGAATGGGATGAGCAGAGTGTCTTCATGAGGAAAGGGCCAGTGACAGCAATGTCCCTGCACAGTGTATCACAGCCCAGCGTAAGTGAGGAAAACATATAAGTTTGGTGTGGTTGTGGTAGCACTTGGAAATTGGATACACAAGAAACAATGATCAAAGAAATACATTAAGCATAATAAGAGCCGCGTTTCTCAAATGTCAGACAAGAGTAACAGATGGGAAAAGAGAGAAAGCAAGAATGAACTCTGTGGTGCTGGATTTTGTGAACAGTGACATTATTGTGAAGAAGATAGATGAGAGAGAGAGAGAGTGAGAGATGCTACATATAAAAGTGTTTGTGTGTGGGGTGTGTTTGTGTGTGTGTGTGTGTGTGTAGTCCCTACCTTTCTCCACAGAGCATATTGGGATTGTTAATTTCCAATTATAATGAGCACACCTCAAACTCAGATCCTGATTTCTAAATAGCGTTGTTTACTCAAGGGAAGCAGAACTTTTTGTAGAAATGATTCATTTAGAGTTGGGAAAGGGAAATCATAAGAAGAATCTGAAATATCTTGTCAAAAAGAAATGAATTACTAGAAAATGATGGAGAAATGTCAAAGGGACACCATATAAATCACCTTGAAAGGAAACCTACTGACCAAATCTGGGGAAATTTTAACATCAAAGTAAATAATGAGAATATTGAACTGTGACCCATTAAATAAAATAAGAATCTGTTAATCCGTGCTGATATGAATAAATAAATTAAAATTTTGATGAAAAACAATATTTGCATAGCTTCAAAATACCTCCCCATACAAAATATTTATTAATTATAAAAAGAAAAAAACTATGATGAGAATCCTGGAAGATATCACCTAAATCAGGTAATCAAAGTCAACTTCACCAGTAATGGAATAAGTCAAACTTACGTGTCCCCTGATGGGATGAAAGAGTTCAGAGTCACTTTGTGACATACATGCCCAACTTGCATAACTTTAATCTTCTAATCATGAGGAAACACGTGATAAACTCAGTGGAGAGACATTCTGCCAAATGACAGTCCTGTAATATCTTTAAGAATGTCATGGTTCTGAAGTCAAGGAAGGACTAAAGAAATGCTCCACAATGACAGAGTTCAATAAGATGACAACTAAATGCTGTACATAATTCTGGACTGGTTATTTTCTTATAAAGTACCATATTGAAACTACTGGCAAAAAGTGAATGGAATCTAAGGTTTAGATGTTAGTAACATATCAATATCAATTTCCGAGATTATTGTATTGTGGTTCTGTAATAGAAAGTCTTTGATCTATGCTAAAGTATTCCGGGGTGATGAGGCATTTTGTTGGTCCTTTGCTGTCACATGGCTCAGCAAAGTGTTATTTAAATTATTCTTGCAATTTTTTTAAGGTTGAGATTTTTTTCAAAATAAGAGCATTTTTTAAAAATTAAGTGGCAAGTACAGAATAATTCAACACTTAATGATAAAAAGATAAGAGTAAGTATTATGATGAAAAATTTAGGGACCTAAAGTGCAGGTGCTTACTCTCTTAGTATTATTATATTATCAATACTAGTTTAGGTTGTCCATGGGCAGGCCCTTAATTCTCACTGTGGAGAAGTTAGAAATTAATATAATATCTTAACATATAGAATATAAACTACAAACACACATATTTGAAATAAGTCTTATGGTTTATATTTTCTACCTAAAATATGTGGTGTAGTGATTCTAAGCCAACCATATTTTGTCTTTAAAAATCCTGAACCTTCCATGAAATACCTAGGTATACATACTAACAGAAGCCCCAAGTAGGCAAAATCAGGTAAGTGGTTCTCTATACAGAATTCCCTCTGATAGATATTAGTTCTCCAAGATGTTCTATCTGTGAGATTATATTTGTAAATGCTGAGCTAAATTGAATGTGATATAAATATTTACATAATGAAATTCCCAAATTAGGTATACAAAACTTAATTACAAATGAAAATCTAATATAAACATTCTCTGGATTTTGATGCAGGAGTAATTCTTTGAGGATAGTTAAAAATAAAAGGAAAGTAATTAATAATTAAGCACTCCACCCTCAAGAGTCATGAATGTATTTGCACTTTAAAATCTTCTTTCTTATATAAAGATTATAATCTTAATGTTTCTTTGGAAAGTGACAGAATTTACATAAAATCAAAAGATTAAGTCTTATTAACTGACTGCTGTCCTTGCAAATGGGAGGTATCAGTTTTAATTGGAGGAAAGACTAATTGATGGATCAATTTCTGTTTGTCTAATCCTTTTGAAGATTAAGTGTTATCCAAATGAAATAATATTTTTATTCATCACTATCAAGAGCAAAGCCTATCATAGTTATAAATTCTCTGTAATCAGTCTTTTACTTATCAATGAAATCAGATTAATTCTATTAACACAAAATAAAATAAAATGTAAGATTCCAATACTTCCCCCAAAGGAGAGTAATTGAGTCCAGTAATTGTATAAATAGTGCTATTGTCTTATTCCATTTACTGTTGCTTAAAGCAGAGCATCGGAAACTAAATAATTTATAAAGAAAAGGAATTTATTTCTTACAGTTATGGAGGCTGAGAAGTCCAGGGTTGAGAGGCTGCATTCAATGAGGTCCTTCTTGCTGGTGGGAGCTCTCTGTAGAGTTAGGAGACAGCTCAGGGCTTCACAAGATATGGGGGTGAAAACATATCAGCTCGGGTCTCTCTTCTTTTTATAAAGCCATCAGTTTCACACCTATGATAACCCATTAATCCATTAATTCATGAGTGGATTAATTCATTCATGAGGGCAGAGCCCTCCTGATCTAATCACCTCTTAAAGGTCCCACATCTCAACATTGGCACATTGGGGATAAAGTTTCAACATAAGTTTCAGAGGGAACAAACATTCTAGTCACAGCAGTTATGTTTCTTAGTGAATTGTTTTATCTGCAAATATTATAAGCATTACAGAACATATCAAAATGTATCAGATTTGCTTCCTCCTTATTTTACACTTACATTATACTGTGTCATTGTGCTAACTCATAAATGCAGATTGATGCTTCGTCTAAACACAGCTTCCGGAAGTTTCAAAGCTTATATAAATTAATAAAAACATTCCTTTTAAATTAATTCTTATACTACTTTAATTGCTTAGAATTGATTTGGAGATACTGGAGGAAAGCATATACATGTTTGCTGGAACTTCCAAAAATGATATCTAAGTATTTCCCCATATAGCATGAATAAAATACCAAATTGAGTCATAGATTATAATGTGCTCTTGGAATAGTGCTAACAAATTTGTTTTTAAAAAAGAGGCCAACACTATTTAAAGTAGCCATGTGATACCTCTTATTTTACTTTAGATGTTTATAGGACTATGTAAACTAATGACAAATGATTTCATCTAAGACCTAACTGAGTTCTTGGCTCCTTTCAGTGGAATTTTATGTGATATCTGAATGTATTTTCTGTTACCCAGACCAATCAGAGATGTTTATTGAATGTCTTTCATAATCTCAATGTACTGCTAGAGGTTGGGCAGGATATAAGAGAATTTTAAGCATACTACCCTGTTCCAGAAAACATTCAAAATACTTTACAAAGATAAATTTTAAGTTAGTACAAATTAAAAATAAAAAGAAGACAAATTAACAAGGGTAGGAACACAAGATATTATACAATCAAATTCAAGAATGTAAACTTCCTTTCCGACCTAACTCCATATAGCCAGTCCCTTATTCACTCAGTCCTGTCATACCACATTTGTGAATGTGCAAACTCTTGGGAATTTGCTCTTTCCTCTCTTATGTTCCTCCCACTTAACATGGTGACCACCTGAGTTACAACAGCACTCTACATTTATTCTATGTATTGCCTTCTTTACTGCCCCAAAGCATTTACGACATTGGAAAATTATTCTTTATTTGATAGTTTATGTGTCCGTTGTCTGCTGAACCTATTAGAAGGTCATCTCCATAATGACAAGGACTCCCTCTTTTATATCTGCATCCTCAGTTCCTAGTTCAATATCTAGGATATAGTAGGTGCTTAATAAATATTCACTGAATTAACACATTAAATATAGAAAAGCACTATTTTTTCTGAGTTTGCAAAAAATTAAAATTAAAAATTTTGGGGGCTCCTAAAGGGATTGTGGGTTCCTAGACGGCATGTCTACTGTGCTTACAGAATAAGTTTACTCTTTTTTCCAAGGATAATTTAAATGTCACTTCACCCTCCAAAACACTTCTCTGACCCCAATAATTGTAGAAATAAACACACACACACAACGTGCATTACTTCTTTTTCTTCTCCACTTTCATAGCACTTTCTATGAGCTCCAGTAAACTTCGTAATAGACTAGAAGCAAAGTCTGTATCTAATTCATCTTTTTACTCCTCAAACCTTCCACTATAGAGCTTTATATTTGCTAATTAACAATAAATGTATTTTGATTTTATATTGGATTCCTATATTAATAATATCTGTTCTTCTAATAGTTAAGGAAGTTTTCATGAAGCAATAACTACTTAGATGGCCCTAGATTCATATCATAGGTGATAAAATGTTGAATACATTTGGTAGAAATACTTTGTAGGTCACACCTGCTAGGATAATAAGTTGGGACCAGATGACAAAGAATTGTGACTTTCAAGCAGAGAGTTTGGATTTTTGTTTTGTTTGTAGTGGTACAATTTCAGGTCACTGCATCCTCAACCTCCTGGGCTCAAGTAATCCTCCTGCCTCAGCCTCTATGTAATCGTACTACAGACACGCACCACCACACCTGGCCAATTTTCCTTTTTTTTTTTTTTTTTTTTTTTTTTTTGATGGGGTTTTTCCTTGTTGCCCAAGCTGGTCTCAAACTCCCTGGGCTCAAGCTATGCATCCACCTCGACCTCCCAAAGTGCTAGGATTACAGGCATGAGCTACCATACCCAGCTGAGAATTGGGATCTTGATGCAGTAATCTATGAGGAGAGCCTGCGGGTTCTTAATCAGGAAAACAACATTGTATAAATGATATTTTAGGAAGATTTATCTCTGAGTTGGCCATTGAAGAGATTAAAGCAGGAAAAGTCTGGAGGCAAGGAAACAAGAAAAATTGTAGAAATGAACTGGTATGACTAGCCTATGTGCCAAGATATAGTTTTATTCTATTTTAAATTTACTTTTGACTTCATTTACTGGTAAATACAAGGCATTGTATTCAGGATACTCATTTTCTAAGCTACTTCTAACTTTTTAAAAAATTCATTATCTTGGCCAGGTGTGGTGGCTCCCACGCATAACCCCAGCACTTTGGGAGGCCAAGGCAAGAGATTTGCTTAAGCCCAAAAGTTTGAGACAATCCTGGACAACGAAGCGAGACTCCATCTCTACAAAAAAAAAAAAAAATTAAAACTAAAAAATGATTAGCCAAGCATGGTGGCATGTGCCTGTAGTTCCAGCTACTCAGTATGGTCTAAGGCTGGAGGGTTACCTGAGCCCAGTAGTTCGAGGCTGCAGTGAGCTCTCATCATGCCACTGCACTCCAGCCTGGTTTATAAAGAGAGACCTGACTGGGGAAAAACATCATGATCTTAAATATGTGTTGATACATGCTTCATCAGAAACGTTGCATATTTCTTCCACATATGAAGCAACAGTGTATTCTTAAATTCTCAATCAATAAACAAGCAATTTTTGAACAATCTTGGTAACTTTTTTTGATTGAGGCCACATCAGATTTAAATGCAAAAGCATAATAAAAGTAACTGTTCTATATGTGGTACTTTCTAATAAAAACAGTTTAAGTTATATTATTTTATTTACTTATTATACCAACAAATTATTGGTATTACATAAAACCCACTTTATAGAAGACAAAACTGGTAAGTTATGGAGCTAAGAAATGAGCCTAGTGCATCTGACACAGAGCCCATTTGCCTTCTATCGAACTTCTCAAGAAAGGTAAACATGTACATAAGACCATCATATTAGAAAGTAAGAGAGCAGATGCCACAAGGTCTAAATGTCTGTCCAAAAATAAAATTTTACAGAAACATGAAAACTTTTACTGGACTTGAAATCATAGTTTGTTCAGAGAACATTCTGAATAGAATAAACAGCATGAATGAAGAGTGGAGGTAAGAATCATCCAGTGCATTGAACTGGAAAAGTAAGATATGATAAGAAAGAAAAATGATACATGAAGAATGCTTCAAAGATATCTAACAAAAAAACTGAGTATATGGGAGAATCACCAGTCAGGAAAAGGAATATGGAAGAAAGAACATGAAGAAAGGAGGAGTGACAAGAGAACGAACAATGTTTTTAGTTTCTCATATGCTGTATTGACATGCAGTTGTGTTTCATATGAAGTTGCTCGGTAGACAACTGGGGAAGGCAAAATTCAGCTGAATTATAAACAGAGACAGAAGCTCCTGGAGTGACCCATTACTAAAGAGAGTGCAGACTGGGCCATGTTGGCATCTGTCAAGGAAGCCTGAAAAAATATGGTTACATCTTCAGAAAGCAACCCTTAGAGAAAAAAAAAAAATTGTGTATTACATGGGGTGTAGATTGTCATGTATATAAGGTCAAAAAATGTAGGACAGGTTAAAATAGGTATCAAGTTCACTTGTTTAAAGATATGACTTCCCTGAACTTAAAATAAAAGTTGGAAAAATTTTAAAAAGCTATGATTTTCCTGCATTATTTTCCATTTACTTTGCATACAAAAAACAGAAAGGTGAGATTTAAAATGTTGCTCATTGTAATACATATCAGTATACAACAATCACTTGCATCACAGGAATTTCTATGTGTGAATGGAGGAAGGGGTCACTGGACAAGCCTACAGTGTGCAAGAAGTAGAAACAGGCCTTTGCTATGTACTACTAAATTTAATTCTCTCAAAAGCTTATGATCTGGTTGCTATTATTATTTCCAAGTTGGAGAGGCAGGTGTGGAGCTCACACTACTTATTTACTGGACTGGAGAGCCACTATTCAATCCCAGATTTTCCTGACTCTGAAACAGGCACTTTGGTCTACTATATTGTAAACTTCACTAAAATTAATAGGTTAAGTGAAGTCTGGATGCTAGAATATAAGTTAGTAATTGAATATGTTCAAAATTATAGTTCACATTTGAACACCATGCAGCAAAGGTAGGTTCCTCACCAACTCTGCTCACTATTGCTCAGTAACAAGAAATTAAAGATATTTAGCACATTTTTAAATAAATAAACTCAGTTTAATTCCACTTCTCTTTTTCCTCCCAAACCTTTTGAAGTATGTATCTACAATGTGCAAGACTCTAGGCCTTCTCTTGAATTCATCTCATAAGTAAGTGGAAGTCAGATGTAAGCTGCAAACAAATTAAAATAAGTAAGAAAGTTTCTTTTTCTCTGACTTCCATCAGCCTCTGGTGAAATCTTATTTGAGTATTTTGTTGTAAACTCATTCCTTTCCTATCTTTAAGATGGTGAGCTTATTAGTCATCATTTTAAAATGCAAACTCATTCTTTAACAAGAACAGTTACAGACAGGCCAAAAGCAATAACTTTTATCATTTTATTCTAAGGGAGTGAATGTGTTTTATACCATCTTTGGACACAATGTAAATCTCAGAGAGAATCAGGAGCTAGAGTGTTTGTTTAAATGAATTAATTTCATACTGAAGTAACTATGATACTTTGAGCCATAAATTAAGCTGATTTGAAAGAACTCAGAAGAAGAACATTCCAAAACTGGTTACAGCA